CCCGCTGCCCCCGCTGCCCCCGCCGGCGCCGCAGGCCAGGCCCGAGAAGCCCTGCTCCCTGCAGAGGTCCCAGGAGACGGTCATCCGGGAGCTGCAGCCCCAGCAGCAGCCTCGCACGATCGAGCGCAGAGACCTGCAGTACGTCACGGTCAGCAAGGAGGAGCTGTCCCCGGGCGACAGCCTGTCCCCCGACCCCTGGAAGCGGGACGCCAGGGAGAAGCTGGAGAAGCAGCAGCAGATGCACGTCGTGGACATGCTGGCCAGGGAGATCCAGGAGCTGCAGGACAGGCCCGAGCGCTCGGCCGAGGACAGCGACCGCCTGCGGAAGCTCATGCTCGAGTGGCAGTTCCAGAAGAGGCTGCAGGAGTCCAAGCAGAAGGACGAGGATGACGAGGACGAGGAGGAGGACGACGTGGACACCATGCTGATCATGCAGCGCCTCGAGGCTGAGCGCAGAGCCCGGGTAGGGGGGGCACGGTCGTGCGCACGGTTGACCCCTCGGGGCCTCCGCTGGTTAGAGGCAGCCCAGCCCACGGTCTCAAAGGGTACAGAGGGCCCTGAGCTCGTGATGTCCCACGTGTGACCATTGGCCAGTGTCCCACAGAGATGACCCAGGGCTGTGAGGCCAAATTTTATAGTTTAAGCAGAGCTTTCTTGTGTTAATTGTCAAGGTGTTCACTATCCTTCCAACACCTCAGCTGGGAAACAAGTCTTTGCCAGTACCCGGTACAGCTGAGCACCCCAAGTCCGAAGCCTTCCAAGCAGCAGCACTGTGCTGGGGTCTCACACGTGCCCTTCTGTGGGCTGCGGTCACCGGCCGGCCGCTGCTCACTGTGTCCTGGAGCGAGTGCGTTTGTGTTTAGCTGTTTCCCTGTGGGCCCCGCCCCATGATTCCTTCCCATGAACATGCTAATGTCCCAGGATCGGAGAAGTTCTGAGACCTGAGGTACTGCTGGTGCCGAGAATTTGAGCTGAGGGCTGTCCACGCCGTGATGATCTGTCAGGTGTTGGCGGCAATTTTTCTGAAAGAGCCGGAGTCAGACTAGGCGCAAGGCCGTGTGGGCCGTGGCTGCTGCTCCACTGTGCTGCAGAGACGTGGCATTGTGGCTGGGAGTGCTGCCTGCCAGCCAGACTGTTCACAGAAAGCACGGCCAGGCACTCGCTGGCCCCGGCCCGTCGCTAGCACCTCACGGTGGTTGGCAAAGGAGACCTGTCAGAACCACGCAGGGAGGGTGTACGGTCACCTCGAGAACGAGTCCGTAGGGCGCTCGCTGCCGGGGCCAGGCGCTGAGTTAACACACGCACCTCGGTCGCACTGCACGCTCACTGCCGGGGCCAGGCGCTGAGTTAACACACGCACCTCGGTCACACTGCACGCTCGCTGCCGGGGCCAGGCGCTGAGTTAACACACGCACCTCGGTTGTACTCCATGCTCACTGCCGGGGCCAGGCGCTGAGCACACACCTTGGTCGCACTGCACGGACTAAGCACTCGGTGTTTTATTCCCTTCTCTGTGTTATAAAATGACACTGGTTCTTTTTGTTCCAAAGAAGAGAACAGAAATTAGTTTAATTTTTAAAATACCAAAGTGCCAGATGTTTAATGACGGCAAGACGCTTTGTTGCCCTGTCCAAGAGACCAGCCCGGAGCTGGTCCTCAGCTGCACTAGCGCGTGGGCGCTGGGGCCGTGTCCTGCCGGGAGTTCCGGCGGCACGCCCGGTTTATTAAGCAGCTGTCTGAGGAGAGGCTGCCGAGAGTGCTCCTTTCTGTTTTAGATTTTGTTTCTGATTTCAGCCCCTTGGGACGCCGCCAGGCTGGACGTCCAGTGTGTCCCACACCTAGCGAAGGCAGGTGTCCTCGTGGCTTCGGGCCACGCTCAGCAGTACGAGGACCCGGAGCCCAAGCGTGTGTCCGTCCACAGGTCGCGGGTCTTCCCACGTGTCTCTCACGCAGTCTTCACATAGATGTGCCAACCCCACGGGAGCCCAGCCCCGAGCTCTCCTGAGGCAGAGACGCCCACGCCGCACTGGCACGTCACGTCTGTAGTAGGATTCCCTCCCGAGGCCCACCGCGGCAGTCCGCCCCGCGGCGACAGCGTGTGCTGTCAGCACTGCTCCGTGGCCAGTGCAGCGGTTAGGGTAACGGCTCAGTGCCTGCCTCTCTGCCAGGAATCCCTGCCTGTCCCACGGCCTGTCCCAACAGTGACACTCAGCAG